ATATATGCAACCGCCTCCAGGGTCAAATATTCCTCCGGGACATGTATGTCTCCTTCGCCGTGCTGTTTATGGTCTCAAGCAGGCACACCGCGCTTGGTTTGAGTGTTTTCGCGATGTCGTGCTCAAAGCGGGCTTTATAGAAAGTCATTAAGATGCTTCTCTATTTGTTCGCACTACATCGCGCGACAGAGTTTTATTACTCATCTATGTAGATGATATGATCATTACAGGTGATGATATGACAGGTAGAGTTTTATTACTCATCTATGTAGATGATATGATCATTACAGGTGATGATATGACAGGTATACAATACACAAAATCTTAGTTGCAACAACAGTTCCACATGAAGGATCTTGGATCTCTTCGGTATTTTCTTGGTCTAGAAATTTCTCAAGGCCCGCGGGGTGTATTACTGTCTCAACAGAAGTATCTCTCAGATATTCTAAATCAAGCTGAGCTAACTGATAATGCAACTGTCGATACTCCACTCCAACAGAATGTAAACTTTGCTCTATTGACGGTGAGCCTCTATCTGATCCTACTCGATATCGACATCTTGTTGGCCAGTTGGTCTATTTGTGCATCTCTCGACCAGATATCTCTCATGCTGTTGGTATTGTCAGTCAATTTGTTAGTGCTCCACGTTCTGTACACTATGCTGTCTTATTACGGATTCTTCGGTACCTCCGGGGTACTAGCACTCGCTCTCTTTTGTTTCCTGCTATATCTAAGTTAGAGCTTTGTGCATATTCTGATGCTGATTGGGCTGGTGATCTAACTACCAGAAAGTCTACCACAGGTTATTGTATATTTCTTGGTGATTCCCTTATTTCCTGGCGAAGTAAGAAACAAGATGTTATTGCTTTTTCCAGTAATGAGGCAGAGTATCGTGCAATGTCCACAACAGCTAAAGAGATTATTCATCTTCGTCGCCTTCTCAGTGATTTCGGCATTTCTGTTACAACTCCTACTCCTCTCTACTGTGATAATAAGAGTGCCATCCAGATTGCTAATAATCCAGTATTTTATGAAAGGACCAAACATATTCAGATCGACGCTCATTTTGTCCGTCACCAAGTTATCAAGGACAAGACAATTCTACTTCCTCATGTTTTATCTGCTGACGAGCTTGCAGGTTTCTTTACAAAGGCCTTACCTGTTCATCGGTCCAGTTTCTTGTACACAAACTCACTTTGTTTGATCCAACATGAGTTTGAAGGGGGCTGTTGATAATAGTGTATTGTAGTGGGTTTTAGTCTCACATTGCTTGGGAGAACAAACCTCACACTCCTCTACTTGTATAAATATATGTGCATACTCAATATTCAATATAAGGGAAATTTACCCAAGATTCTCTCTCTCTTACTTTAACAAAGGTTTAATTAAGGAGACCAACAACATGATGCGTCACATATTACTATGTTTAGCACACCCGTAAAGGTGGAATTAAAGAGGGAACCAAATACAATTTCAGCAGTATGCAATTGTCTTTCCAGTTAATCCACAATGATATTTAGAGATATCTTGCAATTAGATTTTCATTAGAAAGCACCACTCATCAGCCATAATGATACCCATTAAGTTTCCACCACAATCTCTTCTCGTTCAATATCTTTTTATAGCATTCCATATTTTGATTTCATGTTTAAATGGCAGATTGAGGAGCTCCATTGTGTTGGATCAGCAGGACGTTTAAGGCTTACGTTGATCTCATGATGATTACATCTGGTTGATATTTATGGGGATATTGGTTAAAATTTACTTCACCATCATTGCTTTAGATGCTCTTTAATTTTAGTAGAGATCCCCAAGTAGTTATGAACTAGATGAGTTATCTATGAGGTCAAGGAGATGAGTTTAGCATTTTAAGGGATATCAAGGTGAACATGACAAGATGTTGGATCTTCTCAAGTGTCAACGAGGTTGAGACATGGAGAATAAGGTTGGACCTCTGAAACCACGTAGAAACAAGTTCTTGAGATTGAGCATGCACAAGGTCACATTGCACATTGATGACAAAAGAAAAGCATAGGTAGAGGGCAAAGTAGAGTTCATGTATGTTTCATTGCCTACTGCCTACATTAAGTGTTCATTTTGGCCAGAAGTCTATCAGGTAGTATGTTACACCAAAAAAATCACGAATTGATATATACATACGTAACATACCTACATATATACATATATCCTTGTGCATGTCCATATACGCATGTGTGATTGTCATATGTGTTATGTGCATGTATGTGTCTCTACACACACACACCTTGTGGTTTGCGATACATATAAAAACGATATATCACACATTTTTGCATATGCTCCCGTGTATATGACAAACATCATGATGTGAAATTGATAAATCATGTGTATCAATTCCAGAGTTCAAGTTCATCTCATGTAGGCTATGCTTGTGGATGATATGCTCTGTTGGATTTTTCTTGTAAGACATCAATAACAAGGTTTTTGTATTATCTGTGCGCTATACAATTTCTTCCTATCAGTTTTCTTTTACATAGGAGTTCATGCGCGCGCGCGTAGAGTTAAAAAGCAAGACATGGAGAAATGAGGCAACGCAAAATTACCAACCCTAGGTTCAACCTATAACTCAAGAATCCTCATTTCTCTCGGTTATCTTGCAAGGTCTGGCTTTCTGTTCTTGAGTTCAAAATTATAACTCGAGCTCTTTCAGAGAAAAGAACTCGAGTTAGCACATACGGTGGTTTCCCCCTCTATTCTTCATCTCCATGTTCCCAAATGCTCTCATCCTCTTCTTTCTTCCCAATATCTTTACGGAATAACTCTATTCACTCATCAATTTTCATCGAGGACTTATAAGTTGTTGAAAAGCCTAATTTTTTTTAACCAAACTTGCTAAAAAAAAAATAAAGCTACATGCCCATGCTAAGCGAGAAGGGGGAATTGCAAAAAGAAATGATATTTCGGTGGAGATGCAGGGTATCGAACCCTGTACCTCTCTCGCATGCAAAGCGAGCCCCCTACCATTTGAGCTACATCCCCATGCTTATGTGACTTTAGTTACCCGTATAAATATTTAACAATCTACTCGGACGGAAAAATTAAAAAATAAAATTATATACATATATATAGTTTCAACTTTTGTAAAACTCAGGTTTATGGTCTATTCTAATAATTTGGATTCTCTCCCCTATATAAAAAAATAGTGGAGAAATTATTATTTTTATCATTATCGTCGTTGATTTGTTTAATGCATAGTCGTGATTAGAATGAGGCTCACCATACTCCATGAATTACCTCATTGCCTAACTTGCATTTGCACTCAAAGATAAATGACAATAATTTTCTAGATAAATCAACAGTTATCATATGGTAATACTCTCCCCCTTTTTTTAAACTTTTTTAGAGGAATCCTATGCAATGTTGTTATTGGAAACTTCAAATATCTAGTATTATGTCTGATTACGAGATGTTGGAATGTGGAATATGCTCGCATATCGAAAACAATAATAAAATATCCTCAGTTATGTATACATGAGGGTATTTAAATGCAACTTTTACGGACCTTAGAATCGTGTTTAAAGTGCATATTTTTTTAAAACTTTAGGGCATATGATCAGTGCTATCAAAACAAGTAAGGGTATATAAGTACAAAATTTTAAAATGTTGGGACATTTAAGTGCCACAAAAAACAAGCGAGAGTATATAAGCGCAAAGTAGGGGAAACTATATATAGGGTCTTTAAGTGAAATTAGCCCTATAACATGCAGTGGTCAGGTGGATGTTGGGAATGCAATGTAATAATTAAGATCAGGTATTAAACTGTTTGTACTGCTTCAATCAGGCATTAAACTGATATTTCAAGCTAGCAAGTATAATTCGCACTGCAATCTTTGGACATCTTGGGAGCAAGTACCAAATGTTTTCACCTCTCTGTTGGTTTCTTTTGCATGTCAATTTGTGTACTCAGGTTCATCTCTCTTCATGATCTCTATGTTCAAATGTTATGATGGGATACTTCAGATATCTATTATGAGTGCAAACATACTCTCATGTCGAAAATATTATAAACAAAAAGCGATGAACTCAAAAGTACAAATTAAGTTGAAGACTTTTGTCATCAACACAAGTTTTCAGAACATGCAAACTTCACCGCTGAAAGTTTCCTTTGTTTTCATGTTTTGTATATGCATGCTATTAATATTTGAAAGAAGAAAAATATAAAGCGTCACCATACTCTTCCATATTTTTTTTTCTTTAACTACTAATACTATTACATTCTGTACTTTTTTCTTTCTTTCGTACACAGTAAATGATTTATAATAATGATTCCTAAAAAATGAGTATACAACAGTTTTTCAACAAAAACAGTTAACTATGCTGAAGAGAAGAAATTTTCCACACATCTAAATACGATCAAAAGAAGAAAGGAAAAAATCGATAGAAAATTATGATCTCAGGGCTACTACTCTCTAGCAAACTCCTCATCTTTTTTATTCAAAGATGGATCTTTGTCTTTGGATTTATCAGCTTCATCCTCTTCTTGCAAGCTAGCCTTATCTGGTTCTATGACGACATCAATGGTTTCATCTGTTGTGGGAATTTCTGCAACTTTAAACCATGTAGAGTCCAATCACAATCAACACTGCTCCAATTATGCTGCAAATTGAAGATAATTGAAGAATAAATGATCACACAATCAACCTAAAATGTTTAACAAGAAAAATATACATTTATACCCGAATCAACAAAAACTTCTATGACTAGTTAATTAGCAAAAAAATTGTAATGAAATACTTTATACATGAATTTATTTGAAACAAAAAGCATTGGTTGTTTGACTAATTGGAAAGGGTCATCATAATTATTGCTAATATATATTTAAGTCAGGAAAAAATATTTAGAAAACTATTTTGATGACATGCATGTTTGATCAGTTCATGCTGAGTTGTATTATTTACACACGGTATATACCAGAGTTCGTTAAGATGCAAAGAGAATCGAAATGAAAGGAATAAATTACATACCTTCCAACATGTAATTTCTCATCAAGAAGAAGAGAACCCAAGAAGGCGACGATCACAAGCATTAAAGGGTTAAAAACAGATGCATATAGTGGTCCTTTCTGCTTTATACACCATGATAGAACAGTAAGGATCAAGGCCGATGCGACTACTCCCTGCACCAAATATAATTCCAAACAAATAACTTTTAGGACTATAAAAATATTTCACAAACTTTTAGCATAAACACATTTTCCGGGGATTCTTTTCTTCTATTTTTTTGAATTTTTTTGTTGTCTCAAAAGATATACAAATACTAGTTGCAAAGTATTTGTAGAAGTCAGATAAAGTTTGCTTAGAAAAATGAATCGTACCACGTATACAACAGTCAATAACCTAACATCGAACCCCAATCTCCAATGATCCCAATGCCTATCCATGCAAAGTGCATAAACATTAGCTTGGACCGCCGCCATCAAACACATCAAGGCCGTATTAGAGTAATGACACGGATACGCTTGACTCATCTTAGCCTATAAAATCATGAAACTATAACAATATTCAGAATACAGTCCAATGTGACACAAGGTGGTGTCATCGCTTCAAAATCACCTGAATAATTAACCAGATTGCATAAGAGAAACAAGTGGCAACAGCCAGCAACGAACTGATGACATGATCAGCAGATTGTTGGTGGATTCCTCCAATATCCAGTGATGATTTGAAGAGATCGAACTTTGATGAAAATAGATTGATGTCTGCTCCTTTGTAGAAAGTGAGAGTCATGGCTCCTCCAATTCCAACTATAGTTCCTAGCACCTTTGCTTGTCCTGATACTGATTTTATACCTAATCTCTCCAATCTTTTGTGGCAAAAAAGGATAGATGTACGTTAATTAGTTTTTTTTGTGTAATATTAATGTAAGCTTTTGGGTTAGCTGAGGATAAAGTCCCTGTACTATTTCCAAATTGAACTTGACTCGAGGGGTAAGTTTGATAGTAATTAGTTCAATTTGACGGTAGTAAAAGGGCTCAGTCCACAATTAACCCTACCAACTTTTTAGTTGTGCTGTGGAAAGAAAGTACCTGAAAATAACTGCCATGACAAAAGTGATTGCTGGAATGAGGTTAGTCATAGCCGTGGCAAAGGTTGCCGATGTTAATTTAACATTCACGACGTACAAATTTTGAGCCAGTGCGCCACTGCCAAAAAAATAGAACATAATGTTGTTATTTGGATACTCGTCAATAATGAGTAACAAACTTCTTATTGTCTATCAACTACTAGACGATAAATTCAATATTGTTTCATTAGTTTCTTTTAATACATATTGCAATATGATGCACATATCCTGTTCAAATTTTTAGCTTGTCGTCCCATAGCCCCCCCTCCACCTGCCCTCCCAGCCCCCTACCCCCTGGCCCCCCTCCTCCCCTTTAGCTCCAGCGCCCTATCCTCGGCCCCCTAACCTCCAACCACCTGCCTCCCCCTACCACCATCCCCCCTCCCCCCACCTCCCGTCCCTACCTCTAGCCACCCCCCTTTTCCTCCCCCCTACCCCTAGCCCCCCTCTCCAGCTTCCTACTCCAGCCCCTCTCCCCCCTCTTCTCCAGCGCCCCACCTTCCGGCCCCCTACCTCCAACCCCTCCTACCCCCTACACCAGCACCCCCTCCTCCCCCGAACCTGCCAGCCCACCTTATCTCCGCCCCCCTCCTCCCCCTACCACCACCCCCCGATTTCTCCAGCCCCTTACTCCGCCCCTACCCCTCCTCCCCACCTCCAGCCCCCCTCTCTTCCCTCCCTCCCTCCCTCCCTCCCTCTTTTTTGCCTGGTTGTTCTTGTATTTGAATTTTAAAATTTTGAGATTCAAATTTTTGAATTTTCAAATTTTGAAATTTTAATTTTGCATTGGATTACTCAGCCCCCCCTGCGCCCCCATCAGCTCAGCACCCGCGCCCAGGTTTGTTCTCCTTCGTGAGATATTCGAGAAGAGCCGGTATCCTCCTTCATGGGGATATCCGCCATCCTTGTTTATTCTCCTTTGTGAGGCATTCGGATCAAGCGATCAAGCCGGTATCCTCCTTTGTGGGGATATCCACTATCCTCATTTGTTCTCCTTTGTGAGGCATTCGAGTAGAGTCGGTATTCTCCTTTGTGGGGATATCCGCTATCCTCATTTGTTTCCTTTGTGAGGCATTCGGGAAGTGCCGGTATCCTCCTTTGTGGGGATATCCGCTATCCTCGTTTGTTCTTCTTAGTGATTCATTCGGGAAGTTTCAGTATCCTCCTTGTGAGGATATCCGCTTTCCTTGTTTGTTCTCTTTCGTGCTTTCAGAGCTGCCTTAGTTCCACCACCCACCCCAATTCCGCCTAGTCTCTTTCCAGATTCGCCTTAGCCACATCCTTTTTCTTTTTCTGTGGTGAATCTGCAGGTTCTTAAGCTCAACGTCACATCAGGTTTTTGGTTGTTGTTCTGCCCTAGCACCCGCCGCCTCATTCCCTCCTCCAAACCCTACCCGCCACATCTTCTTTGAGATCCAAGCCTCTGTTTTTTGAGTTTTTTGAGTTGAAAAAAAAATAAAAAAATAAAAAGGGTTCACGAAGATGAAGAGAGGAGCGTTCGAGAAGTCCAAGGAGGAAGCTAATGCAACTAAGGTATGTCATCCTTCATATCATGGCATTCTTGCCTCTTCACCTCGCCGCCAGGTACTTCATCATCTCGAGAAGGGCTATGTTATATCTAAGATGTTCAAAAATCCTCCACTCCCTAGTTTCAATACATCTGCACCAGCTTCAATGCATAAGCCATATCCTAATTGACCGTTTCCACGACCCTTTAATTCCCTTTTCGATAACCATCATCCACCAAAAAAACCGATAAAGGACTTTGGGTTTTCAGATCCTAAGGAAAATGAATGGTGGACTACTGTTTCTCATAAGAAAAGAGGCTGATTTTCGGACAAAAGACTGCTTCGTCCTCCCTTTCCTATAGCTTATATGGATCATAAGAAACCAAGACGGTGCTTCTTTTGTGAAGATGGTCGGCACTCTACTAGGCTTTGTCCTAAAGGTACTTTTATTTGCTTTAAATGTCATGGGGAGGGACATATTGCTAAGAATTGCAGATCCAATCTTCGCCCTTTGGAGAAGAAGATAGATCTATCTGACTCTTCTACCCTCTGCAATAACACCAAAGTTCTTGCATCTTTTGCCATCCTATCAATTACAGAGGGCTCTCCTTCTCTTGAGTTGATTAAGTTTAAATTGTCTTGGCTCTTTCAATGGCAGAGATGGTCTGGTAAAGTCATCCTCATTCAAGACAACAGATTTCTGGTGGAATTTCCATCCATTCTTCAGTTATCTGAAGCCGTAGAAGTGAAACTGCATGATTTTGAAATATTTAAAGGCTGGTTTGTGCCGTGGACCGAGAATACTGGCATGAAAATAGCTGATTTGGCTTTCTATCAGTGGATCAAAATTAAAAATCTTCCTTTTCATTTTTGGTCCATGGATATAATTGAGAAGATCATTAATTCTTTTGGTGTCATGGTAAGGGGGGGGGCAAAAATATTAGGGATAAGTTAAACGACCAAGATGTTCGTGTTCTAGTTAAAGTGAAGGCGTCGGACGGTATCCCAAAAATAGTTTTTTGCTCATACATTTCTCAGGTGGATTTCGTCACAAGAGAAGTTAAATTAGATATCATTCCTATTGGTGTTGGTCAATTAGGATCAGATGTCATCGGCATGCATCTCAATGGAATGGAAGCTCAAGGTGGCCTTGTTTTAGATTCTCAGTGGACAATATAAGTTACTACACCTGTCAAGAAGTCGCCGGAATATTTTCAAGGTTAGACTAGCGGAGCAACGACAGACAAAGGGAAGGGTATTCTGGTATCTTCATCACTAATTTTGAAATCATCTAATTTTTAGGAATTTGATGGTGGCACAATGCTTCCCAAGGAAAGTTCTCAAATTTTAACTGAAACACCTTCAGTTCAGTTCACTTGCTCTGTCCCACCTGGTTTCTCCCGACGTCCAGCTTCTTCAACATCCCCAATTTCGAAATCAGCTAATTTTCAGGAGATCCCTTCTGGTAAGACGCCACCAAATGCAAGTTTTTAAATTATATCATCGGCTACTATGGAGGAGGATCCTAAGGCTACAAATCAGGAAGATTCTTTAAACAAAAGCTCAGATTCTTTTACCATTTCTTTCAATGATTTCCCCTTGAAATTGGTTAAGCAAACATGGAAGGGGCAATCTTTTTTTATTGAGAGATCTACTTGGTATAAATATCTTGGCGGGAAAGCAGACTATTCAACTTCAAACTCAATGACTACCTCATTCCCGCATAAATCATCTGAAACTCCAGCAGTTCAGTCCTCTAGCTCTGTCCCACCAGGCTTTTCTCGTCGTCCAGCTTCTTCAACAAATTCTCCTTCTTTTAGGAAGGTTTTTTTTCAATGACAAGCATAAGAGCTTCCTTAAGAAAGCCTCTTCTTCAAAAAAGATCGTTCGCTCATCGAAGAAAGGTACTAAACCTCTATCTTCCATTTCTGTTTCTGCTGATCTGCCGATTAATTCGCTAGATAAAAATATTATTGCTCATATTGCTGATAATTGTGGAGTTTCTTTATCAGACCAATCTCTAGACAATATCAAATCTAAAGAAGTAGAGAAAAATAGGTAGACTAATTGATCGGTCTGGTTATTTTGAAGTTGAGTTTTGTTGATATCTTTCCTTTTAATGAAACTCACATCTTGGAATGTTCGCGGTCTTAACGACCCTATCAAGAGATGAGTGGTTAAAGATTACTTATCTCGTTCTTCTATTGATGTCGCTGGTCTTTAAGAAAGTAAACTTTCGAATCCTTCATCTAAGAAGCTTCAGTCAATAGGCGGTACGAGACTTATTCACTGGTCACCTTTACTCCACGATTCCAGAGGAGGAGTCTTAGTTGGTTGGACTGATGCTTTCTCTTTAATTCAGTCGTATGTGGGTATTTTTTCTGTTTCTATCCATCTGCATCATAAACCGACCAATTGGAGCTTTATTTTTACATCAGTTTATGCCCCTACTGATAGGGATGATAGAATTTTGTTGGTGGGAGCTAAACCGTATTAGTTCTATTCTTCATGGTCCTTGGATTATTTGTGAAGACTTTAATGCTACCCTGACTTCAGATGAAAGAAGTGGTAAAAATGGTTCTCCTAGAGATATCAAATCCTTTCGAGATTTTGTTTACTCTGCATCTCTATTTGATCTTCCTTTATCTGGCAGAACTTTCACATGGTCGAATAAGTGAGTAAATCCTTCAATGGCAAGGTTAGACAGATTCTTAATCAATTCTGAGTGGGAAAATAATTTTCCTTCATGCATTCAATTCTCTCCTCCTGCTACGAGTACTGATCATTTTCCGATCATTCTTGATAGTGGTGGGCTTAAACCACAACCTCCTATTTTCTGATTTGATAGAAGTTGGCTTCATAGTCCGGATTTTGTCCCATTCATCTCTAGTTGTTGGAGTTCTTTTCAAGTTCAAGGAAATCCTGTGGATATCTTCATCTCTAAATTAAAACTCCTTAAGAGAAGGATTAAATGGTGGAAGAAGAATGTTCTTATATCTATTTCTGCCAGGAAGTCAGAACTTTTATCTAAAATCAATTCTTTTGATCTTCTTGAAGAACATAGACCTCTATCAGATTTGGAATCAAAAGATAGGCAATCTCTTCTATCTACTTTCACATCCTTGACTAAAGAGGAAGAAACTTACTGCATGAAAGGTCTCGTTTACAATGGTTAAAAGAGGGGATGCCAATACCTCCTTTTTCCACAAAACAGCTTCTTATCATAGGAAAGCTAATTATATTGCCACTATTAATCATTAAGGAAGGGATTTCAGTGGTGATCTTGATGTCTCTAAGGCCTTCCATGATCATTACCATGATTTATTTGGTAAACACAACAACAAGCAGTTTCATATTGATTGGTCCTCTTTATATCCTCAACAAGAGACTTCTCTGTTCTGTCTGGAAGATCCTTTTTCTGAGACCGAAATTAAAAATGCAGTGTTTGGCATGAATGCTAATAAAGCCCCTGAATCAGATGGCTATTCTATAGCTTTTTATCAATCCTTCTGGGAGCTGATTAGGGAAGACCTCATTGCTTTAATGTATTTTCTATATGCCAATCCCTCTCATTTTCACAGGGTGAACAAAGTTTTTATCACTCTAGTGCCAAAAATTAAAGAATACTCTATGGTTAAAGATTTCAAACCCATCAGTCTTATTAATTGTCTCTTTAAAATCTTTTCAAAAATTTTGGCCAATAGACTGTCTCAGCATATACCATCTTTGGTGGCTCCTACACAGTCTGCTTTTCAAGCGGGTAAATTGACCCTTGATTCTATTCTTCATGCTAATGAAATGATTCATTACTGTTCAAAAAGGAAAAAAGAAGTTGCAATGTTTAAGATAGATTTTGCAAAAGCATTTGATTCTATTGATTGGTCTTTTCTTATTGACCTACTGAAAGCTAGGGGATTTGGTACTAGGTGGTACACATGGATACACCATATCATTTCCTCTTCTAAATGTGCAGTCTTAGTGAATGGTTCGCCTTCTAAATTCTTCTCCTGTAAGCGAGGTCTCAAACAGGGTGATCTCTTATCTCCAATGTTATTTAACGTTGCTGTCGATATCCTCAACAAAATGATTATGAATAATGTAGAAGATGGCTTATTATCCTCTCTTGGGCTTAAAGAGCCTCTCAACCCCTTGAGAATTTTACAATTTGCTGATGACACATTGCTTTTTGTTAAAAGCACCTTCAAAGACATCTCCGTCATCAAAACTATTTTATACATCTTCGAAGAGATATCAGGTCTGAGTATCAACTATTTCAAATCCTCCCTTGTGTACTTTGGCAAGATCCATCAAAGAGCTCAAAGTTTGGCCGCTTCTTTGAACTGCAAAGTCGAATGTCTACCGATCAAGTATCTTGGTCTGCCTCTGAAATATGGGAAACTTTCAAAATCTGATTGGCAACCTTTGTTGGACAGCATTTATAAAAAGCTTGCATCTTCGAAGAAGAATTCTTTATCCTATGGAGGAAGACTTGTCCTCATTAATTCTGTGCTGACATCAATTCCTTTGTATTATATGTCCTTCTATAAGTTACCTACATGGCTTATCAAAGAAATTGACAAAGTTAGAAAAAACTTTCTTTGGACCGGAAATACAGAAACAAAAACATTCAAATGTTTAGTCAATTGGAAAAAAGTTTGCTTAAGTAAGAGAGGGGGGATTGAGAATCAAAGACATCTCTTCTTTCAACACTTCTCTCCTAACTAAATGGTTATGGAAGTGTTTAGACAGGAATTCCTCATCTGGTGATTTACTGCATAAACTTTATGTTTATGAAGGTTCAACTCTTCAAATCAGGCAATACAATCCATCCAATTCATCCTTCTGGATTGCAGTGTTGGCAAATAGAGAGACCTTCTTTCATAACATATCCTGGGAGCTTGGATATGGCGATAAAATTAGATTTTGGGAAGACAAGTGGTCCGACATTAACTGTCTATCCAGCTTATTTTCGGAGTCTTTTAAATTAGCTTTCTCTTCCAATGCTTCAGTTAGAAGCCAAGGAAACTTTGTTGGTAATGAATGGCATTGGCATCCACTGATGAGAAGAAGTATATCTCCAGAATCTCAAGCAGATAGAGTTAATCTAATGGATCATATTAGGGACTACCATGTATCCCCCACGTCAGATCATCCTAAATGGTCCCTTACTCCTAATGGCATGTTTTCAGTCAGTTCCTTTTACAAATTTCTGAACCGTAGAGGAATTACTAGCCCGATATATAAAGTTATATGGAATCCTATCATTCCTTCCAAAGTTTGTGTCTTCATTTGGCTCCTAACACTTAACCGACTGAACACGAAGGATATTCTTCAAAAAAAAAGGGTGGAATGGGGATATCACTTGTTCCTTTTGTGGAGTAGAAGCAGAATCAAGAGAACATCTGTTCTTTTCATGTTTAATAACAAAACAAGTATGGAAGCATTTCAGTGATTATCAGTTACCTTCCCATGGCCAAGATCCTTGGAGGAGATTTTGACATCTCTAGAAAATTGTTAGGGTATTATAGGGGATCTTTGGCGTGTTATTTTTGCATCTGTCAGTTGGAGTTTATGGACAACGAGAAACAATATCATCTTTGAACATATGGTTCTCTCCTATAAGTCAATTATTAACCAGACAATTTCGGTCTTGCATGACTGGGCATGCATGGGAAGTGGCTCTAAGGCACTGAAGATAGCAGCGAAGCTTAAGGAGCAACCAATCTGCAGAAGTATCTAACAACCTAGGAATGAAGTAGTCAAACATCTTTTGTTTTACCTGTAAAAACAAAGAACTTAGTGGGTTTTATAATTTTGTTTCATTGGGTTATAGAAATTATTTTCTCTTGCTACTATATGTATGGCTGGTTTTGGTTCCTCCTTATATCCATGTCAACGGTGAATGACGGCAAGGCTCTCTCTTCACCTTCATAGATGTTTGAAAGAAGAAAGTCATACATCACTAATATTGATATTTTATAATTTCTATCTTCTAATTTTGGATACAATTCGTATCCTTTTTGTATATATACTTTTCATTAATATTATGAACAGGGTATATCCCTTGTTTTTTTCTAAAAAAAAAACTGCAGGGGTAGTAAATGCAAAACGGTGATCCTACAAGGAGACTATGCAATCAACGCTCACAAGAATTCATGTATATATAATTGACTTTCAAGGATGAACAACGGGTCTCATGTGAATCAAGTCTTTATCTCTTATTTCTTTTCTGTTTTTTTATACATAGGGTCAATAAGACGTGGTTTATATATATTCCTAAAAATGTTTATTTTTTGAAAAAAGAATATTACCCAAATAAGCCACAGAAGAATGCTTGCATTAAGATTTTCCAAGTCAAGGTCGGTCGGCTTTTCCTGCAACCAAAGCAAAAAAAAAGTACTTACGCCTCGTTTGGTATGCGGGAATGGACAAACTTGGGAATGGAATGGAAGAAGGAATGAAATGGATTGCATGTGGGAATGGAATGGTCATTCTCATTCTCTTGTTTGGGTGCGTTCGTAGAATGAAGCTAGAATGGAAATCTCATTCTCATTCCCATGTTTGGTATCACTAGTACACAAGTGAGAATGAAATCTCATTTTCTAATAATGCCCTTACAACAACATAGATTTTTAATAAGATAAAAAATAAACATTAATGATAATAACTAAATAATTTTATATACGCATATGTTATATTAATCTAGGTATGTGTTATACTAATGCTCGTGTTATCCATCAGGTGTATGTTTCGTTTATATTTTTTAAACAATACTCGCTATTTCTTAGTCTTAAAAATTAAAGAAAATAAAAAAAAAGATTATCGTATCTTTCATAGGTCCAAAAAAAAAGAATGATATCCACAATCCACAGTTCTAGATATATAAATTAACTTATTTGATAAAGTATCAAAATCACTCAATTCATAATAGCAAAAATCCATAAAACAATACCAACTAAAATAATAAGTTTCGAAATAGCAAAATGATATACTAGCCTAAATTGTCAATCTAAAATTGCCCACTTGCATAGCGCCTCACCCAAACATTCTTTATTATTAATACGGATATAATTGAAAAATACCTAACTAGTTTTTGATTCTCACTTGAATGGGAATGACCATTCCTTATCTTCTCACTTGGAATGCTCATTCCCACAAATAGTGGGAATGATCATTCCTAGGGAATGGTCATTCCAACATCTAAAATATAGGTGTGTTTGGTATGAGGGAATGGGAAGTGGGAATTGCATTCCATTCCTCCTCATTCCCGCGTACCAAACGAGGCGTTAGGGATAAATTATCAAATAAATTTAAATTAATTTTACCTGACATATGGATTTATTTTTTATCTTATTTTCTAAATATTAAAATCTCAAACACAAGGGAAAGCTTTAAAATTCTAATTAATCTAAAGCAACAAGGAGATTATATAGGATAACTTGATTTTTATTTAAAATGAAACAAACAAGAAACAATAGCATCAACAACTTTCTATGAACTATCTAATCTAAGTTAAAATTCTCTTTTGCGTAACATCTAAACGGTTGCAATCCAAAAAAAACTAATAACATCTCCTTCTAATTAAATTCATCATGATATAATGGCAGTAACATTAAACATTTTTTTAAAATAAAAATCTTATCAAAACACTTGCATGCAAACAAGGTGTGATCTGAGATTAATTTCAAAATTACCCTTTTTTTTTTGTTTTGCACAACAAAAATCAAGAAAAAAAATCAAAACAAAAACTTCTAAAACCCTTTAAAAAAATCAAGAAATCACCTTTCAAGAAAGAACGCAAGGGGACCCAAGAACGTCGAGGCGAACAGGTATCGGTAAGCAACAAGGATCCTCATATCCATTCCGTCGTTGATAGCAAGCTTGTAGAAAAAATTCACCCCTGCGAACCCTAACTGCGCCGAAACCATCCCTATCGCTGGCTTCAAACTTTGCCACAATTCCCCCCATTTTCAAATTATTTGATGAGAAGAGAGAAATCTCAATATAACAAAGAAAATCTCAAGTTCTCACCTCAAAAAAAATTTATACCAAAAGGGTTATATCTACTTTCCTTTATAACTAAAGGAAAACCCAAGGATGAACAGTAAAATTTCTCAATATCCATGTATTTCATCTTAATTCTTTCAAATTCGCCACGTTGCACTCAAATAGGCCACGTTTCTCAACTTCCCCTGCAGTTGCTCTGCTTCTTCCACCTATTCTTTCCTCTTCCACGAACGTTTCTCAAATTGGCCACATTGCTCTGCTTCCACGTTCCCAGGCTTTCCTTCCTTCCAAGCAGTGTCGATGAGGAGCCATGGAAATCGGGCGCGTCGACGAGGAGGAGGACGATCGAACGGGAGCCGGAGGGGAAGCGCATCTTTGGGGTGATGGAGCGGTCGAAGTCGAAGTCAGGGAGGACGGCTTCCACGGAGGGGTTCTTGACGCGGCCATAATGCCGCAAAGAATGGCACCTTGCGCAGACAACCACGGGTTGCGGCTATTCAGGTTCCTGATTTTCTTGAGTATCATCGAGTTGGAGGAGGCCGGACTTGATCAGGCCTCCGATTCCTTCGGCTCAAACTTCGTCCTTTCCAACAAAAAGAAGAGGAACTGCTTCTTATCCACTCAATTTTCTTCCACCTTTCGTTTGTATCTTCCAATTTCAGAAATGAGGGCTAGGTTTAGGGTTTCTTTTTCTCTGATTCAGATCTTTCTATTGACTACTTTTGTTTTGCGTCATTTGATTAGATGAGACTATGAAATGGGAGAAGATAACGTATGCTCTTTTGATCTATAATCTTTCCAAGGGTCACCCTCACCATGAAGATCCTCCGGCAATTTTTTATTGACATATAATCCAGCATAAATGTATAGCTAAATTTTTTATCTGGTAACTGAGATAATTTTTTATTGACATCATCTGTCTTGATTTTTTCTTCTTATGCAATCTTTCAGCATAAATATCTTCCTTAGCTGTTTGAATCTTGGGAAAGTACTCTCAAAGGGAGTCTTGAAGCCTTTTCACAAACACACAGATTGAAGTAATTTTTGAGATTCTGCGATTGTATTTACTTTAACTCAACAACTATTTTTCTTATAGGTAAACATACAAGGACAGATTGAACATTTTTTTAAAATAAATTCATCATGATATAATGGCAGTAACATTAAACATTTTTTTAAAATAAAAATCTTATCAGAACACTTGCATGCAAACAAGGTGTGATCTGAGATTAATTTCAAAATTACCCTTTTTTTTGTTTTGCACAACAAAAATCAAGAAAAAAAAATCAAAACAAAAACTTCTAAAACCCTTAAAAAAAATCAAGAAATCACCTTTCAAGAAAGAACGCAAGGGGACCCAAGAACGTCGAGGCGAACAGGTATCGGTAAGCAACAAGGATCCTCATATCCATTCCGTCGTTGATAGCAAGCTTGTAGAAAATATTCACCCCTGCGAACCCTAACTGCGCCGAAACCATCCCTATTGCTGGCTTCAAACTTTGCCACAATTCCCCCCATTTTCAAATTATTTGATGAGAAGAGAGAAATCTCAATATAATAAAGAAAATCTCAAGTTCTCACCTCAAAAAAAATTTATACCAAAAGGGTTATATCTACTTTCCTTTATAACTAAAGGAAAACCCAAGGGTGAACAGTAAAATTTCTCAATATCCATGTATTTCATCTTAATTCTTTCAAATTCGCCACGTTGCACTCAAATAGGCCACATTTCTCAACTTCCCCTGCAGTTGCTCTGCTTCTTCCACCACGAACGTTTCTCAAATTGGCCACATTGCTCTGCTTCCACGTTCCCAGGCTTTCCTTCCTTCCAAGCGGTGTCGATGAGGAGCCATGGAAATCGGGCGCGTCGACGAGGAGGAGGACGACCGAACGGGAGCCGGAGGGGAAGCGCATCTTTGGGGCGATGGAGCGGTCGAAGTCGAAGTCAGGGAGGACGGCCTCCGCGGAGGGGTTCTTGACGCGGCCATAATGCCGCAAAGAATGGCACCTTGCGCAGACAACCACGGGTTGCGGCTATTCAGGTTCCTGATTTTCTTGAGTATCATCGAGTTGGAGGAGGCCGGACTTGATCAGGCCTCCGATTCCTTCGGCTCAAACTTCGTCCTTTCCAACAAAAAGAAGAGGAACTGCTTCTTCTCCACTCAATTTTCTTCCCCCTTTCGTTTGTATCTTCCAATTTCAGAAATGAGGGCTAGGTTTAGGGTTTCTTTTTCTCTGATTCAGATCTTTCTATTGACTATTTTTGTTATGCATCATTTGATTAGATGAGACTACGAAATGGGAGAAGATAACGTATGCTCTTTTGATCTATAATCTTTCCAAGGGTCACCCTCACCATGAAGATCCTCCGGTAATTTTTTATTGACATATAATCCAGCATAAATGTATAGCTAAATTTTTTATCTGGTAACTGAGATAATTTTTTATTGACATCATCTGTCTTGATTTTTTTCTTCTTATGCAATCTTTCAGCGTAAATATCTTCCTTAGCTGTTTGAATATTGGGAAAGTACTCTCAAAGGGAGTCTTGAAGCCTTTTCACAAACACACAGATTGAAGTAATTTCTGAGATTCTGCGATTGTATTTACTTTAACTCAACAACTATTTTTCTTATAGGTAAACATACGAGGACAGATTGAAAGCTTTCTATTAGCTTAGAGCATGAGTGTAGGTTGTCTAAATATCACAATAGATAGCTGATCCCTATCAAGATTCAACAACGAAAGTTACAATCAGATAACTTTCAGGCCAACAAATAAAAGCTATAAATAGAGGATTTTTCACATAGATTGAGAAGAGTTACAATTCAACAATACTTTCGACAACTGGTGAAAACTCTATTCAGTAGCCTTCACAATCAACAGTGAGAGTTACAATCTGACGACTCTCACGCTCTATAACAGCTGAAGCAAAGATCAATGAGCAATAGTCTTCGTAACGCTATAATAGAAGAGGTTAGAAGTTAACAACCTCTTCTAAAAACGCAGAGTCCACATCTGTGCTTCTCAAACTCAAAACGCATGCGACCTGTGCGTTCTTCAGCAGACATTCAACTCTGTGACGTAGAGTTAAAACTCAAAACGCATACGACCTGTGCGTTCTTCGGCAGATACCCAACTTTGCGCCCCAAGTCTTAGGCGCAGAGTTAAGACACAGAACGCAAACAGCCTGTGCGTTTCAATCATCCACAGATAACCAACTCTGCATCCCAAGTCGGAGGTGCAGAGTTAAGACCTAAAACGCAAGCGGCCCTTGCGTTTTTAACTCCCAGCAAGCACCCAACTCTGCGTCTCAAGTCTAAGATGCAGAGTTAAAGTCTAGAACACCAATTTAGGTGTTTGACTT